GTATAGTTGTGTTTTCAAAGCATCATTTTAATGTTGCTTATTGTTTCACTCACACATGTTTGTATTAGTAGTACTTGTAAAGACGTCACTGTAACCCCCACTTGATACTGTTAGTAGTCCTGAAGAACTTGGCAAACTTGTTGCTGGAATGATATACCAAATATTTTAACATTGTATGACATACCATGGCAAATGTATGGCAATTATATATACAAGAATCTTACCAGTTGTTATTGATGTTCCTTTGGATAATGAGTACTGGTCAAGTAAAGACCTTTGTCCTGGTACAATACTTGGATCTCTTAATCTAACAGAATCAGATAGTGCTGGTACATGGCTTGTATTGACAGTTGAAGAAACTCTTGTAGAGATGCCRGTTATYGGTTTCTCAGTATGAAGATGAGGTCTCAGTCTAGAGTGATAGTCTGATAGTCCTTTGTGGAWAGTGTAWTCCTGTCCAGGAACTGTGGTTTTTGTAGCAGTGGTATCTGCACTACTTACAGCTCTCTGTTCCTGGACACTTTTTCTAAGTTGAAACTGATCTGACASCCCTGGTATTGGTGCTTTTCCAGACAGGCCAGTTCTTGTAGTTGTGCTTYGTTGATCAGTTGCAGTTGTCTGGAATGCACTACTACTAGGCATTGTTTGTTTTTGTCCAGTCAGGCCAGTCAAAACTCTGCTAGATGTACTACTAGAAAYACCAGTACTAGAATAACCAGTTTGACCAGTTCTTGTATAAGCACTTACTGGTAACTTTGTAGCTGATACATTACTACTGAATTGCACTTCTGGAATACTTGATGCTGAGTAATTAGATACTGGTATCCTTTGACTCAGTCCAGCAAGACTTGAYGATGTGTCTTTGGGTAAAACATTTTGACTTTTGAATAGACTTCTTTGTCTTGGTATGGACTGGCTTATTCCATGTCCAATATTACTTTCACTGACAGCTAACTTTGAAAGGCCTGTGACTCYAGAAMTACCTGTCCTACCACTGGTGTGGACYGATGTTTCAGGTAAACTCTGTCTGGGTAATAACTGTCCAGGAAGATTCTCAGGTAATGGTTCCCTTCCAATACTGCTAATACCAGGTAACATGGTACTGYTTACTTGAGCTGATGTYTTAATGTTACCAGGAATATCCCTGTAATCCTGGATCTTACTGTAATGGCTTGATGGCACATTTCCTGTAAAACAATTGWCATTAYAATTCATACAAAATCATAACCAGTAAATAACGCTAATTAATGTGGACATGCACCTGTCCTGGGAATCTTTGGGTCAGCTGGATGGTGAAAATGATGATGATAATGATGATGAAGAATAGGAGAAGATCGTCCACTTGAGCCACCATTTACACTGCTATCTTTACCTGCTGCTGTTGTCAGTTTGTCGACTTTGGGTCTCAGTCCAATAGTGTCAAGTTTTATACCATGGTCATCGGCATCAAGAGGTGATATCTGTTGTCGCCAGGATGATGTACTTGACATAAGACTACTTGACAAGTGATCAGATGATTGATTCTAACAAGACATCAATACTGTCAGTACACTCAATACAAATGGAATTGTATAATATCGTATGTATTTACCTTGTTATCTTGTGCATTTAAGGAGTCTCCTTCATCAGATGAAATGGTGTATTGTGTTAATTCCTGGTGATTGTCAGACAAGGTGCTATGTTGCCATGTTATTTTAGCAGACTTCTTTTGACCAAGTTCCCTCAATGATCCTTTTTTCACTACTGATGAACTACCACTGCTACTTGATTCACCAAGCTTGATTAATTCATTAGTAGAATCACTGACCTGTGATTGCTGTTGAGTAAAATCATTATTTTAGTCATTTATCTCTATGTATTATAGAATGAGCAATATAATGTTAAAGTTTACAGGTCACCAGGTATTTAATACAATCATGTTCTTTACCTCTGAGAAGTCTGCCTCATGGCCTGGCCCAGTAAATGAGCTGATTCTTATTGAAGGATCTGTAGTCATCCTTGAATCATTAGGTCTATGATTGATAAACGAAAGCATTTTTTTTCAATCACATGCTTATGATAATATACCTAATTGGATGAATGCAGTTTTAATTACCTGACTCGCTTTCCTAATAAATTAGTATCTTTTCTACTATGATCTGTATATGAAGATCCAAACTCTTCTCTCAAAAGACTTGAGATCACATCATGATCTGCTGTAATTACATTGGAATCATCCAAATCGTCTGGAACAATTTTCAATRGGATATCATTTTCATTAATTAAATGTGGTAACTATCAAATCTAGCAGTATTGGTTCGGCTGCATGCAGGCTAGTGTATCTCTTAAATAAAAAAAATTACCTTCAAAATCACTTTGGTTTTCATCAATACACTCCATAAAATATTCCAGTAATCCAGAGAATATTTCCAGCAAGTTTTTGATTGATATGACATCCCCACTGACAATTCCTTTTGCATTGATGTGTGATAAATCAACATTCAAAACGTCACTAGCCAAGCTGTCAATCACGCAATTGCAGTTGTGAATATGGTCACCTTCACTTACAGGATTGGACATCAAGCCTAAATAACAATCAATCAATCATTGATAAATCTAGTTCAATGATCAAGATTCAGGTGTTGTAAGCAATAGGTAAGACAGTAAGCTTTATATCGTGACTGGAACAGCATTATACAGTGTTTTTATAGTTTCTTACCCTTGATATTGTCACCAATCAGGCCCTTGTACAACAACACGAAAAATTCATCATTGCAGTCACTCAAGTTCTTTACTCTTATGTTTAAGTTGCACTTTTGAATTATTTCTTTGGCTAAAGCAACGAATTCTGTAAAAAAATAGAATACGATCACAATAATAGCGAAAATAATAAGTTTAACTTATAAAGATTTGTTGACAGACATCGTTGTGTGTCTAAAAACGTATCTCCAATTGCCATTAAGGTAAAAACATCCAGCTTCATAATTTCCCCATAAACAACTCCCTCATGAACCTACCTTTTTCATCACCTTTCTCCATGTTGATCTACAGCATTAGCCACTTTATCGATGAGCAAAATTGATTGTTTAGGAATTCCAACAACACTTGACCGCCATTTTGGAGTTTGAACACAAGCACTGGTATTTGATTGGTTGAAATTAGATCGTCCTAGTCTTTCTTACCGTGAGGCATAGGGAACCCAAAACAACACCGAATTTAAAAATGTTCAAAATGGTAGGGATTTAGACACACAATATCTTCTATTTTTAAGATTGGATGTGATAAAAATGTCATTTCTTGGCTTACTACGAAGTAAGAACACTCTGTTCTTCAAAGTCCGTTACCTTGGTAGCTTGAAACGTGCAATTTTACCTGTTTTAAACTCCCAAAACGTACCCTCCATTTTAGCACATTGCTACAACTCTTCAAACCTCACCAACGACAGAGAAGTGCAGCAGGGTAGTAAGGAAGTTTTGTACAGGTATAAATGGATAAAACAATTAAGAATGGTATCAAGAGTGAAAATTCTACATTGTCTAATCGTGAGTGGGCTTACAGGACCAATGTGTGTTTGGTATGGTAATGGTATTATCAATGGAAATGTGCTATTTGCAACAATCTTTGCTGCAACAGCTTCTACTATTGGCCTATTTGCACTCAGTTATTTCTTTAGACGAGTCATTGGAGAACTATCTTACGATAAAGTAAATGACCAAGTGACAATATCATCTTTAACATTCTGGGGTAATCGTCGAAATACTGAAATCCCATCGAGTGCCCTTGTTCCCATGACTGACCATGGATTTAGTGACAAGAATTTGTTCCATAGGGTGGAGAGATATGAGAATGACTTTGTTTTCTTATTAAACCTACGACACGGAAAGATTTATAACTATGACAGATTGCTAGAAGTGTTAGGATTACATGAAGAACTTCATGAAAGACACAGGTTACCCAACCAGGAAAGGTTGTGAATGGTAAAGTGTTGGTGCTTGGACAGCTTGTGTAGGATAAAAGATGGCTTGGAAAATGTTCTAAAGACCAGTGTCAATCAGGTTCCAATAAAACAACAGAAAAGGAGAAATCAAGGAATTTAATTGTTAAACGAAATGACTTTTCACACATAAATATTGCCAAACATCAGTTATTGAATTTTTTTTACATGAATTTTTAAGATATATCATCTAGCAAGGCATATGCATGATCCACTTGTTTTTAAAAGTTCTCTATTTATCAATCAAATATTTGTGCACTTTTTTCAAGTCTTGCCATGCAGAATTAGTTTTTCAATAGCAGCTAATTCCTCCACACATTCATCTCTTCTCTTTCGTATTTGTTCCATTATTTCATCATGTTGTGCTGGGTACTTGACAAGATCCTCCTTAAAATACAAATGAATGTACATGGCTAAAAATTCATTTAATACAAACAGTTGTCAGGGACTTAGTCTAAGAGGAGAACTAGATTAGATTAAAAATCAATATCATTAATGGTGTTTGTTGGTGTTAATTTTGTACCTGAAGTGCTACTGCTACAGGAGTGCAAGGTCTTTCATGTTGAGCGCTATTCAGAAACAAATATTATCATTTCATAGATTATTTCCTTATAATATGTCACTTTTGTGTTGCCTCAGACAAATTAATAATGACTGATCAGAACAAAACATTAATGCAAGGAAGTTAGCAGAGATACAAATGAAATTAGGAAGGAAACAGAGAACACATTATGTAGTTTTACAAAACATACTTGTAGTCTTGTAGTGTAGACTTGACCATATTCTGAAGGTGGTTAATGTCATGTTGATAGCGAACAACAATTGATGACCCTTCAGGATTGCCAATTCCTTCAGCAGAGCATAGACAAATCAATGCAACTATAAAGTTAAGTCTAAATAAAAGATCATATACCTTGCAAAAGCAACTCAAGATCTCTTATTTCTTGCTTGATGAGCTCTGCTCCCCGTTTCCCTCTGTAGACACTATGGTTGAAAGATTGCTATCTCTATTATATATGATTATTTGACAACAGTAAACTATGTATAAAAGTAATAATTCTCAAAAGGAGCTTATTACTTACTCATGAACTAATTCTCCTTCACTATTGTACATCCGCATATGATTTACTTGTGAAGATTGATCATCACTGAAAGTGATATAGTTATCCTGAGAATATATCACTAAATTATGATTCCAGTAAGAGGATACTATGATATCAACATACCTATTGTCACTCGGTTGTTCTGGTGCTGACTTTTGCTAAACATAATATATTAGGTTTGAATTCAAGTTTGACTAGAATAAATGTATGATAGAATTACTAGTATCTTTCACCTTTAGATCAGCATGTTTTTCTGATCTTGATCTTGGTGCCTTGTACTTCTGAAAGAATGAATATTACATTGTAAAAGAGTACATTGTACCATAGTACTTCAGTACCATTACCAGGAACAGTACCTGTGTTTGTTGTGACACTGTATATGGCAATTGATCTTGTGGCTGTTGTGGTAATGGTACACATGGCAAATCATTCTTGATGTAGTGTAGACATGGCAGAAATACAAAGCTAGATTCTGAAGAATACCCTTTAGCCCTGTTTGAAAATCACAGAAAAAGACAATATCCAAACAATGACTGCTTTTTAAGGTGAAATATCACAACAATCATTTAGATTTCATACTGTATACTAGCTGGAGAAGAATAAAATGGTGTTTATAAAAATATGTATGTTATTCCTAAATGAAATGAGAAAGATTACCAGTCACTTGGAACTTGTTCGGTTAGCCATTCTGACAAAGGCACGAGACCCTGTGGTAGAGTCCTGGTTTAAACACAAATACACAAAAAACTATTATGAAAGGTACATACAAAGGTTATACTCTTTATGACAGGCATGATAATTACCGATGGTCATAGATACTTGGTTCTTTACTGTCATGTTTGTCATTATCCTTTATATTCTCATCAGGAGTATTTGAATGTAAATATCCATCTATCTTACTAAGTGAAGATGCCCTGGTGAATGGCCTCCATGGTGGGCGTGGTGGGAGATTTGGTTTCTTGACATCATTGTTACTGCTGTTTATTCTGGCTTTGGCACTACATGGTCTTTGTTGTTTGGGTACAGCGATAGGGGGGCCTTTTGGAGGGGCGTGGTAGGCCCTACGTTGTGCTGCTGATGGTGGCCTTTTGACAACCACTTAAAATTGTTTTGAATTTAATCAGTTGTTTATAGAAGACCTAAATACTACATTTAATATTAGGAATCTGAAGAATAATCATTTCAAACCTCTTGAATCAAATAATCCACGAGCCATTTCTATGACGTCTTGATCCACGTCCGGTGTACTCATTTCTTAATGTAGTTAAATTATACCGTTGAGCTGATTTTGTACTTCAAACAATCTGCCATGTTTTTTAAAACTAGTTTAGTTAATTATTTGAACTTGATGTACTCCTTTCAAAAGTAAGGGGCGATAAAACGTAATCTCTCTATGGCGTTAGCAACCATCGTAAAAGAAAGCGTGATTTCCTTGTCATTATAGATCGAAATTTACTTAAACTCGTTCAACTCTTTGTTAGGCTCACTGGTCGTTGTTGTTATGATCTCGGTCTAATCCCCCCTTCCCGTCCCCTACTAATTTTTTTGTAAACAACCATGATCCATTGCGCCACTAAGCCAGGCGTTGGCGAGAATCAGGAGTAAAAGTTTTTTGAAGTTCGATATTTTGTCTACTTTTTATCGCGTCTGAGAGTATGCAGGGAATTAAATGTGTGGTGGTTGGTGATGGGTAAGTAATGCCATTATGTTGTACACAAAATGTGACTGAAATCAAGGAAAATATTGAGGTTTTGAGCGGTTTTGTGCTTTGTCAAATTGACCCACGTGTGAAAAAATGGCCTTGCTATTTGTAGTAACATAATTTCTGTTGACGAGGGTGATATAAAATCCTTTTCTTATCCACACAAACGCTATTTCATTGCCTTGTACACTGTCGTTATTGAGGCTTTTTTAAATTTACTTCATTCAATTTATTTGATGTTTTTGTCATTACTGTCTTGTGAACAGTGTGTACGACTCGAGGCTTTCTCGTTCTTGTATAAAGTATTTTGTCATGATTTCTTCCCTCTCAGTGATCTTTCGCCGTATGAGTATTCACTGATATTAGCTCCATTGATTGATCCTACTAGGAGGGTTCCTTTACTGATTAAATTATTGTCAACATCCTGCATGGACATTTAAGTCTTAGTTATCAATGTACACATTTGTACACATGCTGTAATGCAAATTGCTCAATTGACTGAAAGATCAACATGTTCATTTATACTCTCACTACAGCGAAGAGAATAAAATGATTACATCCATGTATGTTTAACAAAAATGTGTATGATTTTCAGAAAATATCAATTAGAGATGTTTCTTATGTTTGTTGTTGAACAGAGCTGTTGGTAAAACTTGTATGCTGATCAGTTACACAACCAATGCCTTCCCAGGAGAATACATACCTACTGTGTAAGTAGACTTATAACATAGGAAAGTCTGTACTTGTTATAGTTACATTGACCATAAAATTGACCATTGTAAATTGACCATTGTAAATCGACCATTGTCAATTTTACATCCTTAAATGACAATTGCCAACTCTACTCTTATGTTTTTTTTCATTGTAGATTTGATAACTATTCCGCTAATGTAATGGTGGATGGGAGACCCATTAACCTGGGATTATGGGATACAGCAGGTCAAGAGGATTATGACAGACTCAGGCCACTTTCCTATCCACAGACTGTAAGTGCATAAGCCCATCCTTTGTTTGGATATTTCTTCTTTGATCATATTTTGTTGAAATGTTTCCATTGATTTTCCATTCTTTCTGTCTACCCTAGGATGTCTTTCTCATCTGCTATTCTGTTATAAGCCCAGCATCTTATGAGAATGTCAAGGCAAAGGTAAGAATTTTGAGATATGAGCTAGTCTAATTTCTGTGCTTTCCAGATGACAACCTTTAGCTTATTTCTTGTTCAGTTAAATGTCTTGTAAAAATGTATATCTTTTCCAACAAATTACCCTTTATTTATTTCCAGTGGCATCCTGAAGTGAGTCATCACTGTCCAGGTATACCAATCATTTTAGTAGGTACAAAAACTGATTTGCGTGAAGATAAAGACACCATTGAGAAGCTGAAAGAAAAAAAACTAAGCCCTCTTAGTCCAGCACAGGGAGTCCAAATGGCTAGAGATATAAAGGCAGTTCAATACCTAGAGTGTTCAGCTTTGACTCAAAAAGGCTTAAAGAAAGTGTTTGATGATGCAATAAGGGCTGTGCTATCTCCCAAGAAACCAGAACGACCCAAAAAGAAATGTACACTTTTATAAATCAGCAATAATATGTGTACTGTGTACATATATGTTAATTTATTTTAGATGTAGTTATATATACCTAGAATGGTTCTAGCTAGGTTTGTTTTAGTATCAAATACAAAGTATTACTATGTCAAGTGATAGAAATAGTCGATGCTTTACTGTTTCAAGCCATTTTATGGGTAAAAACAGTCATTTATCAAGAGCAAATCGTAGAAAACTGACTGAATTGTCATCATAATTAATGATTATAACATTGAATTATTCTTTCCCGGACTGATGTTGCTCAACTATATCTAACACTTAGGGTTGTGATAGTATTAATAAGGAGTTTCCTAACAGGAAGGGGTAATTATCAAATTAACAACAATATATACCACAGATCCATATTTAACAATATATTATAATTAACAATGAGCAAGATTCACTTGGGGAGAGCATAGATGAGAAATTTCTACTGCATTATCTTGATGTATAATGGCAGTATCAGAAATAGTAACCAAGAATGCCAAGTTGGCTATCTGAAGATCTTAAAAGATCTAAAACACCTTTGATTTCTACAAATTTATTTGTAGGTTATGGATGTGCCACAGTAATATTATTCAATGATTGTAGAAGCACATAATCCATTAGTTATAAAACAAAAATAGATAGAAAGGAAGTTATATATATATATTAATTCAAATACTACATATAGCTATTCCGTAAACGGCTGTTGGAGAGAACGACAGTTGGCAAATGGAACACTTCACCAATTAGGCGTCCATTTTGGTACAAATCAACATGTTTTACATGGATTTTGGGGTGAGTCAACTTTCAATTCACCTACACATCATGAATTGTTATAAGTAGATGTGTCCTTGTCTAAACAATAGCAATCACCTGGAATAACATCTAATATTACCAATCACTGTTCTCTCTGACAACCTCTTTTTGAAACAGCTATATAAGAACTTTGACTAGAGATACTTTGACTAGAGATCAAGAAAATTTATTCACTTTATTTTGACATTTTGGAGAAATTTAGACTAGTGATGTGAATGTTGCTTTTTGTGTGAAGAGAGAAATGGAAAGCACTTTATGTTTCATTTCTGTCAAGACAATTTTCCTCGTGCTATTCAAATTAATGGCTGGCCATTCTGATTTGAAGCTGGGACAAGGGGAATGTTTCTGCAACTTTGACTAGTTGCTTGCAGATCATTAAGTAACAAAACGATGCAAAAATCTTAAACAAATCACCATAAATGAATTGATTGCAAATTTAGTTTATCAGATATCTTTAAAAGTACTATTTAGTACCATAGACTGCTACTAAGTGGGTAAAAGTAAACATTTTGTACAAATTTGTACATTTTTTGTTTTGCTGTATAATATTAGTACTCTTTGCAGTCAAACATTATATTATATGATTGATTAAGAGCAAGATTCTGCCAATTCACTTAAGTTATACATGTATTCATTTGCCTGTGGCATGATCTATGCATACAATTTAAAAACTATAGAGTTGGTGGAATATTTTGTCATGATGAGGTTTTTTGACTTCAAAAATCGTTTGTGTGTGCCTTACAAGGATTGTTAGAAAATGTTATTGGTCTTTAAGAATACGAATACAATAAAAAATGATTTGCCCATTAATTTTTGTTGCATTTTATTCTCATTGATATCATTTCTTAGTTATTGCTAGTTTTGGTATTTTAGAGACAAGAAGCAATTCTGCTAGTTTAGTGACAGAAAGGATCAAGCATGCAAATATCATGAAGGAAATGCATCCGGTAGCAGTATCTCTTATGATCATAGTTAATAGTTAATATTAACTATGTTATGATGAGAGATTGTACTTTGTCAACTTTTTGGTTCGTTAGTGTTTTTGTGGCTAGTTCCTTGAGACGAGGCTCGAGTGACTATGCTATTACCGACGAGCAGTTTGAAATATGTATACGTTCAGGATCCACAAGGAATTTTTCATATCTCCATTTTCTTAGGAGTTTTCTCGCTTTTGTCATTCATGCAACTGAATGGCTTATGATAGACTGGATGATTTTTGTGCTTCAAGTGCGTCAATTGCCTTTCACAGCAGGGTAATCCAAATGTACTAATGCAATTTTTCTTGGCCTCAATAAGCACTAGTTCTATGTCGTCAAGGGTGGGTCATAGTGACATCTTGAGATATTGCGACGCGTGACTTCACCATTCAAATTGCTGCCAAAATCAGCCCATCCAACCACGTGATCTGGGTGAGGAAACTCCCTACAAACGCGCGCCATGTTAAAAATCACGTCTGTGCTGAGTACAGTGTTCCATAAATACACATGTGTTAGTTCACCGACAAAAGATTGTTCGACGTCAAATCCTCCTCCAAGGCTGTCTTGGTCGAGGCCTAGAACCACTTTCCCTCCCCCTTGAATTGTATTACCAGTATTGATACCGCCATTATCGGTTATCTTGAGATCACCATCGATGAAGACTTGTGCTTGTCCAGTCACGCTTTGCCACGTGGCTAGCACGTGATGCCATCTGTCGTCATCAAGTAAACCTGGAAATCCATCTCTGAAAATTTGCAGGAAAATTGCACTATGTTATTCATGAACTAGTGACGGAGGGCACAATCATCCAGTCAGGGGGTTAGCTACAACGTAGTAAGTCAGGGGGTACGCTTAACTTGTTAGGGTGAGTTAACTTATAATTCTCATCTTTCTAATAGCACTCTACATACACGTTTTACGGTTTACAGGGTGTGAATGTGATGATTGTTAAGGTTTTCACTGTTTTCAATTCTTACATCTGTTGTTCAGCAACAACAAATCTCAGCCAACCAGTCTGGTCGATGTAGATCAGAATTGAATTCATCTGACTTCCCACAGCGTAGGATATCGGAACGAGTACTTTCTCTTTAGTTTTCAGCCAAAGAGAGACTGTAAATTCACTCAGTGTCTGGGTAAGTGTATCTGCCATGACGTAGTTGGTGACGTTACGGGTAGTAGGGAAGACAAGATCAAATGATGACGACATGTCTATGGAAAGTTGAAAAAACAGACCGACTATTCACACTTATGATCATTATCTTATTTTTCAGTCTAACGATCTGTTCAAGATTGAAAAAGGTCACGGCTCAAAAGGCCCTCACCTCCGTTGTTATTTGCCATATTGCAGAAAACTTGTGAGGTTTCGTTCTCCTCCTCTATGTTCAGCCAGTACAATCCGTCTCCTATAGAGTCATCGTGTCTTATTATTTCAGCGCAGGAATTGGTTGCTAATGAAGGTTTGGATCCATAGCGATCTATGACAGTTAATGAGAGATGTTAGGATATAGTGTGTAGTGTGTACGTTGATAGCGACGAATGATGATAGTGATTGGAATGATGGTGATTTTCATCAAAATACCTCGATAGCAACTATGAAAGTACACGGAAAACTTGCTGACTTGTAAGTCTGCTTGATGAGACTCTTTGGAACGTTTGTTAAGCTCGCACAAGTCCTGATCTGCATGAAAATTAAAGCTTCTGCAGTAGGGTTCGTCTTGTTTGCATTTCATATAACAATCGAGAGGAGTTGGGGCGGAGAAATTCTTGTACACGTGGCCAATAAGAGAGTAGCCAATGAACGACGAGTTACACTGGGCGTTTGTAGAAACAGCTCCTAGAATCACTAAAGCTGTAGCTGATTGCAGAACAAGCAGATTCATACCTGTGAGTAATATAAATAGAGTAAGGGATTTGAAGAAACTACAGAGCGCATTGTTTCGAGCTGCCGTTATATGTATTATTAATGCACGAAAAATTGAAGATGTTCCAAAAATAAGACAGATTATGTAATTTAAGACAGTTCAATATTTTCAAGGAACTTTAATTCCCATGTTTTAGTAATGATATTTTTAAGAGATATCGCAAAAGAAATCGGAGAATATAGTTATATCACAACGTTATGTAATCGTTTTTGAATGACAGGTGTCTTGTTCAATGTAGTTCGTGAATAAAACTTCAAAGTAACTCCTTGACTATAATGTCCATGAATATTGGACTTAATTAGTCAACATATTTGAATAAAAGACGAGATGGGATTAGTATGCTAAGGAACATGATGCTATATAACTATACATAACGATACTTCTATTTCCTTTGTTTAGTAACACTTATCGACAGATGGATTTACAGTTTTCTTTTTTGATTATCTGTCACAGTAAAACTAAGGCAAAACTGCTGTACGTTTATCAAACTTTGGTGCGCAACTCACCGTTTTTAGTCTTTCCGGGATTTTTTTTGGGCTATGATGAACTCAGAGAAAGCTGTATAGAGCTTATTCACTTTTGCATTCTTTTCTTGCTGCGCATGCAGATGTTTAATCAGTCGATGACTGAAAAGAGTTTGTGAATAATTCACTAGATGAAATACGCAATACTATTGTTAGGAAACACAGGAGACCCAAAATATGACTGAACACGTGACAGTTCACCAATTAGTACAAAAAAGTGTAATAAATTATATTCAGTGTTAAATGATCAACAATCTTCATTTTTTCAAACGGATTCGATCAGTTTCTTAATCCCATCAAAGTTAATTTTAATAATTCAATTGAACAGTTATTTGAAAAAAACTGATTCTCTTGATCTTATTTCCACATTAAGAGTACACAAGTTTCAAAGATGACAAGATGAGAAGAAAAAAAAGAGAGAAAATAAATATTAACATGTTTCGAAGAAAAATGTCAAAAACAAGGTCCTGGGATTCGAACCCATGACCATAAAATCGAAAAAAGGTTGGGACGATTCCCCCGAGACATTCTGTGAAGCTGAGGCGGCGAATCGATTTACATTTCGGTTAGAGATTTCGGCTCTTCCATGCTATCCCGATAATTGGTCCTAACTTCGCGCTAACTAAAAAGCCAGTGAGGGAGAAGCTATCCGGCCCCTAGACACTGATGGATAACCCCTTGCACTAACTAGGCAACTATCGAAAGTATAATGTCAAATTGGGGTAGTCTATTCGGTGAAAGTGCCAAGTGGTCTATTATTATGTAAATGAGCGTTGTTCAGTGGCGCACCGCGTTAAGGCGCTTGGCTGTGAACCAACTGTACCGGGTTCGGTACCGATCTTGCAATCTATCGTTACTCTTTTTCTGTTTTTTCTTTTATCTTCTTCACTTTTTTTATATTTTTTATTCGATTCATTCTATTTTTTTTGACTTTTTTTTTTCTAGATAGAGGAAATATAATATCTTTTTATTTTTTCAGTTTATTTTTTTCATTTTTTTTAATTGCGAGTAGGCCTGGTACCAATATTTCGTTCCTAGTTTCCTAATCTTGAGCGCAAAAAAGCATGAAGTCGAGGCAAACCAAGATGGCGAGTCAAGTCAATTTGTAAAATGTGAATTAGCATTGTTTTGGTGTTTTGCTCCAAGAAAAGAGGACAAAATCTACCTCTTAAAGTAACTCAGAAGTATGGGGAATGCACCTTCGGGTGGTATAAATGACAATGATGATGAGGATGCAGACTTTTTTGAGGTAAGTTGTTCTGTAATGCTTTGCAAGTGTGCATGCATGAGAAAGTTGAGAGGTGGTCCTTGAACGACTTGAAGTTATGTAAAAAATTTATGTCTCATTTCTTGTTTGTATTTAATACTCAGTTATTTCAAGCTCAATCTTATGAAATATTGTTGTACATGAAATAAAAACGTAGTGTTTCTTTTTAAAAATAAATAAGCTTCTGGGGACGAGAGCGTGCAAGTCGATTTTAAGTTAAGACCTGCTATAAGCAAGCATACAGTTAGCGATTATGACTAATCACGTTTGAAGTCAATTCATTTGTTTTGTAATCTTTCATATGACAATTTGTCCCTAGAATCTGACGCAATAGCAAAGTGTTAAATTGTCTATTTCCCAGAACGCGTACTTCCTCTATGCTCAGAGATGCCGTGTATTACATTGTCAATATTTAGTTCCGGATTATTCTATCATTTCAGGAAAGTCTTTCCTTATAAGACAATAGAAGAAGAATTGTTCAATTTTTTATTGTTCTTATATCCAAAGAAATCTACAATATATTTGTTAAGCTTTATTAGTTCACAGAAACATACACTAAAATGAATTCATTCAAAAGTAAGCTGATTAATTCAATGAATATACCTTGATCCTGTCCAAATAAAATGAACATGAAAACTCTTATTTTTTTTTTATGATCACTTTCACTCTAAGTGTATCTTATTTATACACAGCAATGGAGGACTTTATATTATAAATCTTAAAAATAACATCATGCGTGAACCTTTTATACAAGGTTAAATATGTCAAATTGCTAATATCATGTACTTGGCCTATTTCTATTTAATGTAAATGAGCAGTGTTATGCAAATATGACCATTCAAATATCAATCAATGTCAATCATTGACACTTGCTTGGACACATTTGACTCACAACTAATATTATGTACTGTCTTTTGTTCCTCAGGAAGGGAAAATGGCATTACTGAATGGTATGAATTCTCTGCATTAAATGGGTGCAACAGTATTGTTATAGTCATACATGTGAACTAGTGTGTACTCATCATGATCATCAACTTCATCATCATTGATCACCATTATCATCATCATTGTCTTAGCAACTGACTGCTGTGTTTGTATGTACTTATTGTTTAAATTGTTCAATGTTTTATGTAGACACCTCTGAAGGAGGCCTAGATATAGGCTCACTATTTGATCATGGTCAGTTAAGAGAGGCTGCAGGGAAAATCAAGTAAGTCAGTCATTAATGAGAGTGTTTTTATAATGATAGTATTTAACATTACTATGTTAACTCAGGGAAGAAGCAAATGAGAGTTTCCTCCAGCAACACATCAGTACAATAGTAAGATGGCTTGAAGAAAGAAGAGGACGTCATGATGTAAGACTTCTTATTGTCTCTTATCATTAGTTATAACTATTTCCTTGAAATTAATGATGACAGCTGTAAACATCTTTTCCATTTCTTACATTCCTTCCCAGTTTTTTCTTTATATTGGTATATCTCATGCATTTTGTTGGTCTTTTACTATATTTCTATTTATTTAATGTTATAGTTTATGGTATCTTTGTTTGTTTTTGTAGGAATTCATTAGTTTGTCTCAGTTTACTGACATGCTGGTTGGACGAGGAGCAAATAGAGAAGAATGTGTAGAAGTAAGTCATGTGACAGACTATTTTAGTGTAAGATGGGTTTCCTGTGTTCCACAAGCAACCAATCATAATTTATCCACAAAAAATAGTTCTGTACAGGATTTAGCATCATTTCAAATTCTTGATGCCTTCATAGTTTGTATTTAATTTTCCTTTTTAGCTTTTTAATCAATTTGATGCAGAAGGTGATGGTCAAGTTGTAGTGGAATATTTTTTAGAGGTATGTATGAATCTGGATAGAAATTGAAGATAGGTTGATTGTAGAAAGATAACCATTGACATTGAGTGAAATGACAAAGAAACATAAGTTGCACTGTTTAACAGGAAAATGAGAAAATAAAGTATGATTAAACAAATTGAAAATAACCTTACTTTTCGTGCTATTTCAGACATTACAAGGGCTGCCTGGTGGTGCTTTAAGTGCCAAGGGAGACTTGCGAACATCAATCAAATCATTGCAGACATGCTCAATCACACCAGGTTAGTATTGATATGAACTTGTGTCTTTGTGATCATAATATGAAAACAATCATTGGCATCATTTAGTTTATCAATCAATCATTCATTGATTAATGCTAATAATGATTTCAAACTAGGGTTTGTTGATTCCTATGCTGACAATAGTGAAGGTGTTATCWATCATGGACAAAAGCTATTAAAGGTAGTTCAGTCAAATAATGGTTTTCTTCGACAGAAATTAAATTCAAGATTATTCATTGTTGTCTTTCTTGATTTAGTTTGTGATGAGAAATAGATCTCAAAGTACATCCCTACCCATCCCTGCACTAGAAGGGTTTTGCAACACTTCAGAAATGAGGCTCAAAGTACTGCAATCGCATATTGAAGCTTTTAAAGAAAAAGGTATTGCTTTGTTATCATCTATTTATTTATATTAATTGAATGTTATCCATCTAAATTCACCTTTCCTTTGTTTCTTTTTAAAACTTTTCCTCATAGCAAATGTCACTAGTCAAGCATCAGCACTAGGAGAGGGTGGAGAAATACTTAAACCGTTAACTAAATGCTATACAGACATAGAGGTGTCGTCAAATAAATCTGATGTATTAAGGTAAGGCTCAACAAGCTAAAGAAACCAATAAAATAGTTTATTATAATATAATTCGATGTTTGTTTGTTTGTTTTAGGGTAGTAAATGGGGATTCTAATAGTTATTGGCAGTCTGATGGACCAGCCAGATCACACTGGGTCAGGTATAATATTAATTGTGAATGTTACTTATTAGTAATTGTTAAATGATAACTTAATCTTACCACCTTGTACCAAAGTATTTTGATGTTTCTAAAGTCTGAAAAATCGGATGTCTTTTTCAATTTCAATTTCTTACTTTCATACTTATGCAGTTTTTCTTGTTTTTGTGTTACTTCCAGGTTAAAAATGCGTCGCAATGTGGTGTTAAAACAGTTATTAATCAATGTAGCATCGGCAGATCAGAGTTATATGCCACAGCATATCGTCATCATGGCAGGTCGTGATGAACAACACTTAAGAGAAATTGGTGATGTTAGAATACCAAGGTGAGTAATGGGAAAAATGAAAAAATGAATGGGAAGTGGAAGAAACTTACTGATGTTCATTTACAATCAACTAATGGCTAACAGAAAGCTTTTCCATTCATAGTCATGTAACAGGAGAATATACTTTAATAGAGAATGTAAAAACTGCTTATCCAGGTATGTTATTGCTGACTTATTATGAAGGCGAATCTGATAGAAGTGTTTTATGCTTTGATTTTTTTGCAGTAATTCAAATAAATATCCGTCGTTGTCATAGTGATGGCTGTGACACAAGAATACGAGGGCTAAAGGCTATTGGCTATAAGTAGGTGTTTCATCTAAAATTGGAGAATGAAAGAGATTTATGAATGGGAAAGTGAATATGAATGAATGAAGGTTTTCTTATTGCACCTCTCTATGATAAGTCATTATCTTGTTGTTATATATTTGTCATGTCAAGTCATGACATGTTGCTTTTTTGCAGAGTTTTAAAAACTAAAGGTATGAGTGTTAGTGATGCTTCAGCTGTTTGGTATCTTTCAATTCTTGGTGCTACAGCACAAGCAACTTTACCTCTAGCACCTCACCTTAGAGATTCACTTCTGGCTATTACAAGGTAAGTAATGATATTCTAATAACTATTGATAGATGGTTGACCAGTCATTTGTAATAATTGAGTATTATCTTGATGATAGTAATGTTGTTCACCTACTTTATCTGATGTTTATAATATACTATTGTTCTTGAAGTATGACATTTAGTTTTGTTTGTTTGGCAGATCTGCTTTAGAGCACATGAAACCCTTATCCCTATCTATTTATTCACCGGAAAGACCATTATTTATGACACAAAATGTCATTGAGGAAGTAGAGAACTTTTTACACTCCATTGTCAGGTATGGGTTGATCCGATATCTATAGCTAGCTGATTAATGCTGTAAAATGCCTTTAAAAAGAAGAAATAAGAAAAAATAGAATAAAGAGAGAGGAAGCAAAAATATGGGAATTGATTTGTCCTATTCCAGGATACTGCCACCATTGTGTTGTTATGTTGTAATGAGTTCACTTGTAGTAGCGTATTACACGTGTTGTGTTTGACTTTTTTAGCTTTGGAGGAGAAATACAACCTGATAGTTTAAAGATTCTAATCGAGTTCACCCTTGCTAGAGGAAGTCTTAAAAGTATCCTTAAAGTTTTGAAACTTTTATATGGTGAGTTTGTGCTAGCTGCACAACAGACTGGACATTCAGTGTATTCAAATCCTAGTTTATTATTCATGGTCATTACAGTCGAGATTGAAAAGTTTGCTGTTCTTGTGGGTCCACTTGAGTTTTGAACATTTTTGACATCAAAAATTTACATACAAATCAAAACCATCAACAATTTAATATATATACAATACTATACTATGCTATATAATAATAAAATGGAGTCCTTTATTAAAGTTATTATTAATATTGTTTTGTACAGCTGATATTGTATATGATTGATAGATATTTGCGACCAAGATATGAATGGACTTAGTATTATCAAATCACTTCAAGAAGTACAGTTTACTGCGACCAAGGTCCATGGTAGGTAGCTTTTTATCAGAATAAAAAGTCATTTATAGTGGTTTCATTTCTATCCCTTGTTGTTTAGGTTCTCAGTTAAAAATGTCTCTTGTTTCTTGTGATGGAGGAGAGAAAGACAAGAATTCCAAGGCAGAAAATGTTCTCTCTGAGAATTGGACGAGTGAAGGTGTGCAGTATGATTAATGTTGTTTCGTTATTTTTTAATCAGTCTTAATGTTTTATCATAGTCTACCTAGTATGATAGTGTACCTAGTGCGGTACAGTATCATAGTCTACCTAGTGCAATAGTGTACCTAGTGCGGTACAGTATCATAGTGTACCTAGTGCAATAGTGTACCTAGTGCGGTACAGTACCATAGTCTACCTAGTGTGATAGTGTACCTAGTGCGGTACAGTATCATAGTCTACCTAGTGTGATAGTGTACCTAGTGCGGTACAGTATCATAGTGTACCTAGTGTGATAGTGTACCTAGTGCGGTACAGTATCATAGTGTACCTAGTGTGATAGTGTACCTAGTGCGATACAGTATTATAGTCTACCTAGTGTGGTAGTGTACCTAGTGCAATACAGTATTAACCGATTGTAAACAATAATTATCTCAATTACCGTTACAACAAATCACATTTAGTGATAGAAAATTTGTATGTCAAAATTGATTAATATTTTAATATTTTTCATGTACATGTATGATTGTGTTTTCCAGCCTATCTTTCTGAAACTGGCAAGAAAGTGATCAACATGACTTTTTCTTGTTCCCTGTCAAATCCTGTCAGACTCACTAAACTTATTATCAAGGTAAACCTAACTTCACATTATTACAACTTAACCTAACTATCGCAACTTGGTGCAGTTTGTTCACTTACGTTTGTTTACTTTTATTCAATCTTTTGTTAGGTTACTAGAGGCGCTCTTGGACCTAAAGCAGGAATCATCTTTGTCCTGAATGACTTCAAAAGGTGTGTACTGAGATTGTCAACTAATAATATAAGTCACTTAGTGAAGTTAGTTTGACTTGGTAGTGAGAGAAAAATTGAAATCGTTGTTAATCTACCTGCTGTTTGATACTTTTAAAAGGGAAATATCTGATTGTGTGTCTAGCTTCTTTGTATTGATGGTTCAAGGACACTTATCATTGATATTTTTTTTGTATTTCAGGGATGAAAAAGACAAAGATTCAGCTGAAGTTGATCAGTTTAGCAAATACAATGACTGGACAAAAGCAAGCTATGCAGAATTCCTGAGAATGTAATTTAAACACCATATTATAATACATATAATGATGTCAAGAGAATTGGCGACTTGAGTATTCATAGTTTATATGTTCCTTATTACCAGGAATCCTACCTCAGCAACAAGAAAACCTGAGGATCCTGTTGCCTTCTTTACAACAGAACAAGACTGGTGAGCTATTTCTCTGTTTGCTGTCTTTGGCTATGAGGGTTGTTTCTTCAACATAATAAATAATACACAACTCAGTTTCTTGTGCTGACAGCATAGTCCTGCAGCTTGTTTTTCAAATTAATCTGCACTTAAAACAGATTATATGATATGTTATCAGAATATTGCTCAGTAGCAGAACTCTTGCTGAAATACAACTATCTAGACATGTCTGTTTGTGAATCCCTTTTTCTTGAGTAGAGAAATTTTGTCTTTTATGTTAAAAAAATGTCATTTGCTTTTGTTATTATTAGGGATGAAGTTGAGGTACCTGTAGACCACATCAGATCAGGAAAGGTATATAGCAACAAGATTATCATTAATTGTTACAATTCGACTATATACAAAAAATAATCATGCTTAAATCTATTTGCAGTATATTTTGATTAAGTTTCTTGGTCCAAGAAAAGATACTGCAGACAGAATAGGTGTTATAGGCATCCATTTCTTTGGTTATGAAGTGAAACCATCTTGTCCACTCAGCCTTGACCTTAGACTGGTATGATTACTACCTCTTGTTCACTGCTATGTTGTATATACTTCATTACTTTGTTCTGTGTTTTCATACAATGTTTTTATACAACCCAGGATGAGGTTGCGCCTATACCTGAGACCAATGAAGTAGAAGGAGCTGTGTTGTTCTTGAGAATTTTGTCTTTTTTAGATGAAATGGCAAAGGATCAGGTAACAGTCAACACTGATTATTTGTACTGAAATGGTGAATGTGATTGATTATTGGCTTTGCTAGGTACAGGCAAGGATAAATGCTTCCAACAAGAATATTGCTTATGTCCAAGAAAAGGTATGATAAGTATTCTAGCAAGTAATTGCATGGGACTGAATTCTTGTTTGCTAATAATATGTAAGAAAGAAAAGGACCTAATAGGTCGACATTAATGTAAAATTTCACTTTGTGATTTATATTTGACTGTTGCATGGAAGCTGAATGAGTGACTTCTTGATCAATGAACAAAATAATGTTAAATGAAAAAGAGTATAAGGACAAACATGTTTTTATTTTGTTGGTAGGAAGGACAACTTGATTTGTCAAGCATTAACCTAGAGCTATTTTGGGAGATCTACACACTAGTAACAAGAAGGTACAGTTGCAATAATAATGCTATCAATAATTTATTGCTTCTCTCATCATTTATTCTCCTCACCATCTATCCTTTTTGTTGGTTTAACATTTCAATCTATTTAGACTCTTGTAATATTTATTATTTTTTGTCAGAGGGATAAAGCATCGTAAGATTATTGTTGCAAGCATTCTTCTACTAAGACTGATGTACTTGACACTTCCGCACCTAAAACCAGCCAAGATATCGTCCAAAAAAACTGACGACAAAGTAATTAAAAAGTGCATGTGTCATCATCATATACCCCATCACAGCCTATCATCAAAAATGTCATCATCATGTTTTTGTTTGATATTCCTGGTTATTAATTTCAATCCTTTGCATCTTTGAACCTATTTTTTAGATACAACAGCTTTCAAACAAAGTTTTTATTTATCTTTGTGATATTGTGGATGATGATGGAACAAGATTCTGTAAAGACTTACAACACATCTCTAAACAAATCATCCTTGAAGGTACATATAGACAGAACAATTTTCTTAGTAGATATTGCATTTTGCACTTAGTGTGTTGTGCATTACATGTTGAGCATTGCTTGTCACACATTGCTTGTCACACATTGCTTGTCACACATTGCTTGTCACACATTGCTTGTTGTGGATTAAGAAACCTTTCCTCATAGGTGCTGAGGTATTCTTCCCAGACACAGACACAAGACGTAACCATTTACTCTCCATGGTCGACCAGGTCATGGTTGAAGGGAAAGCTGTATCTTTGGCTATGACATTTGAATCACTATGCAGGTTCTTTAGTAACAAAGATGCAAGTGGACTATTAGGTTTGCCTGATATATTACCAGAGGTAAAACACAGTAAGACACTACAGATAAACACTTTTAAAAGTGGATTTAGAAATGCCTGGGGCTGGTTAATGAAGGCTGAATAAACTTTTCCACTCCATAGATTTTGTGTGGATTTTATGTGCTGGACAAGGATTTATTTGTACTGTAAACAGGCCCTTGTTATTACTTCCTAATCAGCATTTACATTCCTTTATTATATTAATTGCAAAAAAAGCACTTGTGATCATACTTTGCTTATAGTGTCCACAACAGTGAGTGTCTGATTTAAGGGGAGTTATATTTCTTTGTAGTGTCATATTGTTGTCTGGGAGACAAGACATGACTATGTAATGCAATTATCTTCTTGTTTTCAGAAGGAATTTGACTGTACACCAGTGATTTCTGTGATGACAACACTGCTATCAGTCGCGTATCAAGAGGTACTATTTGTTTATACTACTAACAAAAATAAACAATACAACAATTGCTATCTTATCTTTTCAGTGCCTTAGTAGTTTAACATCAGATAGTCCTGTAAGAACCAATGGTGATTCCAGGTCTAACCTGGTACAGTTGCTGTGTGCCATGCAAAAGAGTCTTCTATTGTGGTGTCACACTCAGTTAAAGGGGAACAATAAGATTGGAACTGATGCTGCCTTGACATTGGTGGAAGAATGTTAGTACTTTCCTGAATGACTTAACTATGAAGCAATTATTGATGAGAGTATAATGAATGGGCAAATGAATGAAATATGGATGAAGAAATGAAGACATGAATGAAAGAAAGGGATGGAAAGAAAAGTGAGAAATGAATGGATGCTTGAATGATAGGTAGTTAAATAGAAATAGCCAGACTTCTTCTTTGTTTGACCAGATACTGGAATCCTTGCTAACAAAGTCTGCAGTGCCCTTCAAGCTGTCAGTGGTCTACCATGCAAGGTAGGCTAAAACATACAAATCTGTATATTGAAATCTACCTAATAATGGATTTGTGTTGATAAACTAGATGATAAACTAGTCAATAACAATCAATAAAAACTATATTGCAGGTGACAGCTATTGATAGACTTGAACACTCATTTGTGGCTGCGGCAACAAGACAACATGTAGGTGAAATACTACTTTTCCTTATAGTATGTGGGCTAGTTTCAAACTGCTTGTAATTTCGTGGTTGTAGGTCCTGTTTCTCAATGCCTTCACTGGTCTTGATGACATTTGTCTTCCTGTACTAAAAAGCCTTCATCCCATTGGCTTGGAACTAAGGAAGCTGTCTACAGACCTCCCAGATCTATTTTTCAAGGTACTTGTCAATTACTACCCGTTATTTCCAGTGAGAGTTTATTATTAGTTTATCAGGCTAATGATTGACGTTTGGTGTAGATTGACTCTGAAGAATGGAACAAGGCCCAGGGAGAAACTGTGCTTCGTACTTGGGAAGAGGAATCCAACCATGACTATGAGAACAATCAGGATATTTCCAAGGTATAGTAACTTGTTTGACTTTATCAACATGGACAGTACCATATTGATAAACTAATTGTATAATAATCATCATTTTAAATGTAATCTTTTTCAGGTTTTCAGCTGCCCAGGATGCTCTGAATTCACAGTAGAGTTTGACCCTCAGTGTGAAACGGAGAGAAAGTAAGTCTTAGGCTTCCTCAAGTGTAATGCCAGGGAGGGACTGAGGATGAAACATTTCATGTTCTTCTTCCCATAACTTCCTCAACTTATTTACACAGGATATCCATTCACTGATTGAACTATTGTTTATAACAGGTATGACTACCTGGAGTTTACAGACTCTAATGGAAATAAAAAGAGATTTGACCAAAAGGTTGGAACAGACAAGTGGCCATTGGTAAGAGAAACTGATATTTTTCCTTTCCATTAAAAGTTTAGTATGTTATCACTATTGAACGGTATTGCCTTGAAAAGATATTGAAAATGTTTCATTGCTTCAATGACCATGTAGTTTTCTTCCCATGTCTAACAAAAATGATAGCTTTCTTGTTCATTGGGACCTTTGTAATTTTATGCAGAAAATCACATTCAAGGCTGGTGACAGATTACTGTTTTATTTCCATTCTGATGGTAGCAATAGTGAATGGGGATACAAGTTCAAGGTTAGATATACTTTCATTACATGAATAAATGTAGTATATTTTAAAAGAAATTGCTTCACAAGTCCTATTTAGTATAGTCATCCAGTTGCTTCACAAGTCTACTACCTATTTTTAGTATATGTTGTTTATTTGTATTTATTATTTGTTTATTTATATGTATAATTATTAGTGTTGTTTATATCAAGTAGTCATCCAGTGCATTGAAAAGAGATGTGCGGTGAATGTATTGATCACATGCTACTTTTTTCCATTATTTTGTCGTGCAGGTTATTGCCAAGGGCTCCCCAGATGTGGCTTTGTCATGGATCTTTGACTTGCAGCTTGGTATGGCAAGGTTATTTGGTCTTCTTTGTAGTGCTGCTCTTGATTCAAGGAAAGGTATAATGATGATAGTATATCACTGACATACCAATAAAGTGTGTGTAATCAAAATTAGTGCTGTATAAATGTTATCTTACGAGTATTATAACTGAGCAACCTATTTTTCGTAGCTTCATTACCACCATCAGAAAATGACAAAGAAGAGGATGACACAAAACTACTTCACAGTGAAATCTGGACAACATTATTTCGTGGTGGTTACATGACTATTAAACTGCAAAGATCACTTTCAGGACATCAYGTGAGATAATGGGATAGATGATAACATGAAATAAATAAATAAAACCTCACGTTCCTAGGGCAAGAAGGCTCTGAACATTTCAAGAGTTGTTGTACAGTAGGATGTTTCTGGGTTTATTTACCGTGATTATCATACAACGATTATCAAACTGATGATGATAATATCTAAGTGTAGATTAGTCATCCAGTCGTTGATAATTAAATAAAGTGATAAGTCAAATACTGGATCAAAGTTGAAACGATTCACGACGTTTCGATCGATTACACCGATCTTCCTCAGGGAGAATGACCAGTTGAATCACCATGATAATGATGAATAAAAAATAACTCTTTTCTCCCTTCATTGTATTGGGCTTTTATACATGACTGATTTGTACATTTTCACGTTCATCATCTAGGCCACAAGTCCACCACAAGAGTCATCTGTCAATTCCTTTTTACATGGCCTCATTGAAGATGATGGTTGTGATCTTATTAAAAGGTAAGTTTTGGTCAAAACTTGTGTTCTTATGGTTCAATGCTATTTTAATACTGTATTGTATTTTTAGATGTCGTCAAGTGCTTCCAGGCCCCCCTATTGGAGGTCCTTTGGTGGATAAGGCTGTTAAAGCTGTCTTTGCTGCTCTTATATGGCACTCACAAGAACTGCGAGAACAAGTTGTTTTGTATGGTATGTACTGTACCAGGTGTCAGAGTAATATAGATTTCCAGCAAGCATTGATATGGCTGTATTGATTCTTTCAGCTAGTAATACACCCCCTGAGTCTGTACCAATTGGCATACAGGAAGCATTTGCTATTGCTGAATCCTTGAGAAGGAATCTGGTGGGTTCTTGTCCTTTTATTTTTCTCCTTATTTTCCTACCTTAAGTAGATGTGTCTTTGAACACATTGAATTGGCTGCTAAAGTTCTTGGTCTGTTTATCCATTAAGGTTGATCGTCGTCAGAAACTTGTCCTCCAGGCTGAAGAAGAGGGAAGTCAAGTATCTAAAGCTGATCAGGATACTCCTGGTATTGACTGAATCATTTTTCTTTTTGTATTATTTTGATTTCCCTTCCAGTTACTTGATCCTTATTTTGTATTCAGTAATCAAGTGTAAAGAAAAAGCTCAGTTTCTGTTAAAGTTTGGTGGTCTTCAGAGAATGACAGATAAATCAGAAAGAGAAAACCGAAGATCAAAATGGCTGGGTAGAAAGTCATCATGGCAGAAGTCTTCCTCCTCTGAGAACTTGACAAGTCCATTCCTATCAACAAGACAGGTATGATTGAATAGATAAGTGAATAGATGGACTAATTTATGAAAGAACGGGATGGAAATGAATTGATAACGAAAAGCATATATGAAAAAAAAAAAGATTTGAAAAGACAACTGAACCCAGGTCTGATTAATAGATATTGGACAACACTTTTAAGTGTTAAAATTCAAACACCTTTCAGTCTAATTACAGAATGGTAGGGGATATGGATGATATTTAAATTGTTCATAATTTTTCTGCAGCGAACGTTTTCAGTGGAAGAGATCAAAACCATCGATAAACATCCAGCGTTCAAGCTCATCATTGACTTTGTTACCAATGAAACCTACTCTCATGAGAGGTTGGTTGTCATGAATTTAAGCACTTTCACCTGTTTTGTTTTCTTTCATTTATTTTTTGTTCGTTTGTCGTAGAATATGTGCCCTTTTACAGCAGCGTAACAAGCATGCAAATACTGTGGCTGATATTTACTTGTTTGCTTCTGATTTTCTAAGAATTTCATCTGAGACCGACACTGTTCAGGTAACTTTATAAATATAGATCCATTAGCCTGGTGATGTTTTTTATATGAAAGACAACCAAATACAGGTAATTAATCTTTAGTTTTATTTAAACTCATTTTCCAGGCACCAGCAGTTTTATTTTTGCAGCAATTCCTCTCCATGCAAAAGTATTTTCCAAGGTATTTATTAACTGGCTAATTGAATTGTGTTTTATTAACTGGCTAATTGTGTTTTATTAACCGGCTAATTGTGTTTTATTAACTGGCTAATTGTGTTTTATTAACTGGCTAATTGTGTTTTATTAACTGGCTAATTGTGTTTTATTAACTGGCTAATTGTGTTTTATTAACTGGCTAATAGTGTTTTATTAACTGGCTAATAGTGTTTTATTAAGTGACTGATTCATTTAGTGGTTGATTGACAGACTAACTGATATATTCATTGGTTACATTTGTACCCAGGCACTATGCTGATAATCTTGATGGGTGTGGTCTGGGGCTAGAGGGTAAGGTGCGCAAGGCATATTACACACTGGTGAGACGAGGACTGGATGCTGTCAAATCATGTTCATCACATACAAATATCTTGAAGTAAGTATATTCTCACTCATTCATTTCCTATGAATGTATATAGGGTGAATCGAATGTGTATCAAATCCAGTTATTCAACAATCAATCGTAGAGATAGATAGATTGTGTGGCTGACTTTCCAGATTTCACAGACCAATGATCTGAATTGCATCTGGATTACATAGCATTTTTATCAATTTGTTCATTTGTTTTTGGTTTTTGTTTTTATTTGCATTTATTGATTGTAGGTGTAGTTCATCTGCATTTGAATGTCTGCGTGCTTATGTTACCCATCTACTGGATACAGAATGGAAGGTAATAAATCATCACAATGCATAATGTGTGAAATATTTGAGTAATTTGCTTGACTTGTTCAACAGCCGTATGACTATACATTTATACATGATGTTCATCTGCCTGAATTCTTATTTGAAACTGCTAAAGCCACAGTGCAGATCCCAAAGATGGACATCAATGATTTAAGTGAGAAGCAGGAACTAGACCACTATGAAGACTGCATGAAATGGTTTGAAGAAGCAAAAAATGATTTTGACTCTTGGTGGAGTGGCATGCAAAACCAGGAAATGACTCCTGAACAAAAACGAGTGAGTCATGTTTCAAATATCTTTTTTTACAGATTTATATCTTTATTTACAGATGTCTTGTTCTTATAATCTTTGCACCCTGTTGTAGCAAATGCATCTGTTTGTTACTGAGATATCTTTGTCTAATGACTAAGTTCTTTACATTGTAGCAAATGCATCTGTTTGTTGCTGAGGTATCTTGGTCTAATGACTGAGTTCTTTATGTTGTAGCAAATGCATCTGTTTGTTGTTGAGATATCTTGGTCTAATGACTAAGTTCTTTACATTGTAGCAAATGCATCTGTTTGTTGCTGAGTTCTCTGACTGTCTTGAAGTCACTATCACATGTGATGGCTGTAGTTGCACGTTGCCTGGACGACGATTCCGTTGTTTAAATTGTCCAGATGTGGACCTGTGTAGTGCTTGTTACTTGGGTAAGTTTATGAATGAATAAAACAATTAATGCATAAATGGACATTTTTCTTATTATAGTATATCTTACTATTTCTTTATCAGGTGGATATATTATAGTATATCTTACTATTTCTTTATCAGGTGGATATATTATAGTATATCTTACTATTTCTTTATCAGGTGGATATATTATAGTATATCTTACTATTTCTTTATCAGGTGGATATATTATAGTATATCTTACTATTTCTTTATCAGGTGGATATATTATAGTATATCTTACTATTTCTTTATCAGGTGGATATATTATAGTATATCTTACTATTTCTTTATCAGGTGGATATATTATAGTATATCTTACTATTTCTTTATCAGGTGGAATTATGCCAGAAGGGCATACAGATGAGCACCAGGTGGTTGATTTACGGTAATTTTTGCTGTCTTTGATCCATGACGTCACATGTTATACATGTAGTACTACATAATGCCCTTATATGTCAACAGCTTCAAGTGCAATCAGTGTCAGTGCTTTATTGTTGGTACAAGATTTCACTGCAATGAATGTGAAGATTTTGATCTTTGTCTTGGTTGTCAGATGTTTTTGAAGTTTCCATCAAGGTGATTATAATGCAAGGAATTCCATGTACAACAGAAATGCTGAGTGTTTTTTGTTGATATCAATTTGTAATCTCTTGTTGTATTTGTAGACATTTTGCTTCACATAGAGTAACAAAGTTTCCTTTTAAGACTGGTGAGTATCAAGAGCTACATGTAAATCTTACCATGAATTAGATGTACCTGATTTTTTGTTTGTTTGACAGTTCCTACAAGCAATCAACCAACTGGTCTTGTTCAAGACTACACTAACCAGCATGTGTGGTTACAGTTTGCATCGTTAGCGCTGTCTTTAGCCAGTACCCTGAACAATGAAACCAAAAATGGTAAATAAAAAAATTCATATAACAAAACACAAATGAAACAAAATGAAACAAATATACAACAGCAAAACCAATTACGCAGGAAACAACAAATGCAGAGATTATTATTCATTAATAACTGTTATTAAACATTTTTTATGTTTACATGGTTGTTCATGTATTTTTTTGTTAAACAGGTTAGGACAACAACTAATTCGTATTCATGTATTGTGATTAAATATGCAGGGCTYAATGCAGAGTACACAAGAACTGCTGGAATGCTGCACATGGACTGTTTGGCTCTTCTCAATAAATCACTGACTTATATCGCCAGATCTTCTGAAGGTAATGACAATATAATTGAACTAGCTTCCTACATGCMTTTGTAACTACTGGGATTCTCTTTCCAGAAATGTCCAAACAAATGTCATCAGAAGCATCGCCATCGTCTAGTGGTGAAGTTTTGAATAAAACCAGCAGTGACTCTATTGAATCACAGGCCTCATCAGATGAAGCTACATCTGCTGTTAAACTAGCACAAATATTAGTAGCTGTAAAAGAAGAAGCATGTCAGTCTTCAGGGGAWTTAAAGTCTTCTTCAGAAGATATTCCAGCAGCGGATTCTGTTGTACCCACTACGACAGACTCTGAACAATCTACAGGGAWTGTAGTACCTGCTGAGGGACAGTCAAGTCAAACTGCAGGGGAAAGWAGTGCATCTAAAGATGGTTCAGATACCATGGATGTTCCATCTGTAATATCATCWAGTGAACAAGAAGCAACTGCTTCAAGTACATCAGAGGAGTCACTAGCTACACAGTGCAGCAATGTCAAAGTCTGTGAGAGTTCCAGCCTGGAGACCATTGGASAAGAAAGCAGCCCTAAAGCACTAAGAAAGGAAGAGGCAGAAAAAGTCTTTGCCCGAGGAGCAAACGAGAGAATCCTTGGCTTACTTGGAGCTCTGTTACCAAATGATTCTAAGGTAGCATGATTAAATGGAAGACTAGTTAATGAACCTTGCTATGGCATCTCAGTCGAGAACATTAGTAGTATTTCATCATTGCATTTATAGGTGTTAAGTTCGCACTAATTAAACAATCTGTTTTTGTTTTTTCACAGCTTGTACACTGGACTAATTCATGTGTCGGTATTGAAGAATTCCTGTCAGACAAATTTCTACCAACTTTGTATACTATAATAAGGTAGGTCATTAYTATATTCTAATAATAATCATGAATTATCGCACTAATGTGTTGTTATTTTTGTCTAGGAGCAAGTATTGTGAAGGTGACACAAGAAGTCTTGCTATGGGTGTATTGGGAAAGTTTCTACAGTGTGCAAACCCTGAGGTATTTTCACATGAAGGCTTCATTTTAACAACTCCAAAACATGAATGTAGGATACATTTGTTAATAGACCTTTTAGGTTGGTATATGTATGATTCACTCAAAGAAGTGTTTTTTGTCATRACAGGTCTCAGACAGTGCAATAGCAAGGGTTCAGTCATGTGGACAAGTCACTGTGAATACAACTACAGAAGAACCTTGTGAAGAGCTGTCCCGTGGTTCCAAGACTGTAGAATTTCTCTTTCAGCTTGGAGCTGAGTATCTTGCAAGGTTTAAAGCTATTCCTGATTTTGCTCTCATACTACATTTCCTTGCTTAGATGGGAGTGTTGCCTGTACTTTTATTTCATGTTTATCATGTTTAATCCCACTAAACTGTATTCTTGTTGTTGTTGTTGTTGTTGTTGTCAGCTCTGACCTTGATGCAGCATCAGGCATGGCGTCCACTCTACAACAGTTGGCCAGTGTTTCTCCATGGCAGCCAAGTGTCAGTAAACACATTGGTAAATTCATTAATCGTTTGGCATCTGCYTCGAAGGTATGACTACAGTCACACTTACTCAGAATTAACTGTTATTGCATTTTTATCAAATTGGTTGTTTTTTATTGTAGCCAACATGGTGTTTTGTTTTTCAGACTGTCGAGTTGAGTGGCATATTTGGTCTCTTAGTGTTTGCTGGTTTTCCAGATGTAAGTGAAGAGTAATTTTATTTACTTGTTGTCGTCGTTGTTGTTTTCGTCGCCGTCGTTGTTGTTGTTGTTGTCGTCGTCGTAATTGTGTTGTCGTCGTTGTTGTCGTCGTCGTTGTTGTTGCTGTTGTCGTCGTTGCTGTTGTCGTTGTTGTTGTCGTTGTTGTCGTCGTCGTAATTGTTGTTGTCGTCGTTGCTGTTGTCGTCATTGTTGTCATTATTTCTGTTGTTACATCTACTGATGTTAGTCATGTCGATATAGTTGTTGCTGATGATGCCGGTACTTGCTGATGCTGTTAATTATTTTTCATTGTTTTTATCTCTCTGTGTGTTCCAGGCATCTCGTACAGGTGCTGCAGTCGAGGTTAAACAAGCATCAGAAGACAATCGTAAAGCAACAGTTGTAAAAGCCTACCCTGAGAAAGGTGCCATCATGGTCGTAGACATCAAATCAAGGAGACGGAAATCTGTAAGTATATGAATGGTGTTTTAGTATGAGTTTGTTTTGTTTTGTACTGTTGTTAATGTTGTTGCTGTGTTGTGTTTTTTTTTCAATGGTTGACATGTTACTTACAGGTCAAGGAATACGACGTGGAGAGTTCTTCAAGTTGGACAGACATATCTGATGCTGCTAATCTTACAACACTGATGACTATAGTCAAAGATATCTTAACTGAACTCAAACAAGGTATAATACCAATAATATTCTGTTCAACTGGGAGCCATGATCTTTATTATTTACTTGTTGATACAGGAATAAAGGTTTCAGTAGAAAGACTGTGGATGCTCTACTTAGCTTTGAAAGGACTCTTACGGAATATCAAGGTACTCTTACCGACAGCCTGTTATGATGTGGGCGATTCCTTTAATTCAGACAATTGATATGGGCCTAACTATTAGATATTGTTGCTTATTGTTCTTTTCTGTGCGTGTTTAGGCAGCTGAAGAGAGCAGCTACCATCACGATATCGTTAGTCGTGGAATCATTCCTCTTCTAGTCAGCCTGAGTTGTAAAGGAACGTCGTTTAGCAGTCAGTGGTTACTTAGAGACCTTGARGTAAAGTAGAATCTTCAATTATACCTCCCTCCCGTTCCTTTTACATTGCTTTTCTTACCTTGGCTCACATTTTCTTTTTCTCTTTATTATATTCAGGTGTTATCCCTTAAGATATATAAACTAGAGAAAATGAAGCCTAAAGATAAGCAAGAGATTTCCAAACCTGTCAAAGAAGCTGCTCCTAGTTTACCTCCAAAGCCGTCAGATTTAACCGCATCCGCTAAAGATACCAGTCCAGCAGATGAATTTGGAGGACAAGACCCATATGAAGGCATGGATGACGTTACTAAAGCTTGTTTCGATGTAAGTCTCTTAACGTTTGCATAACACTAGTACATCATAGTTGATAGGTTGATTGTAGTTTAGAGTTATATTGGATTGGGTTCTAACTTTGACCAGTTATCCAAGAATGCATTGCGTCCCCCTTGAAGTGTGTGAATTGTACTGTTTTATGTAGACTATCCATGATGCTGTGCAAGCACCTCTAGAGATACTAAGAGCTATCTTTGAACACGTTGGGCGAGACAGAGAAAAACTGTTAGAAGAAGTGCAACGATGGTGAGTTCATCTTTAGCTTTGACGTCATCAACATCAGACATCATCATMATCATGACGTCATTGTTGTTTCTAATGACGTCAATATATTCATCATCGTGACAATAAAAAAGTCTTTCTATTTTTATTAGTTTTGATGGATCAGGATTCACACCATCTGAAGAAGTCAAACAACTTTCCAAGAGATGGTAAGGCCTATTTATACTATGTGTTAATTGTGTCATTCATGTCATTACAATCTTGCAGGAATAATTTGTTGTTTTTTTCCAGGAAACCTCTACCAGAGATACCAAAAGAGATTCCACAGGATGTTATCATTGATGTTGGTGTTGTTCGTTATTCTAACAAAGACAGYAACCCAAAAGCAATGGAAGCAAAGCCTGAGCAAGAAGATGTTGCTCAAAAACTTATACCAACAATGAGTGATTCTGAGTTGGCGGAGGTGAGTTCTTCACACATTRTTATTGTCTCTTTGGAAACCTTGCGATTATTGCTGTTTTTATTAGACTCGACAGAAACAAGCCCGCACTAAATCAGCGGAGTTACTCAAGAATGATTTGGAAAAGGAGAGAAAACCTGGATGTACAGACTACTTGGTGAAAGTAAGCCAGGAAAAGTATATTTCCACCTGACATTTCTTAATTGTGCGTTTTTCTGTTGTTGTTTTTTAGGTSAATTTAGCGCTGTCAATCATCTATGCTCGTCACCTATTGGCTGCCTTGCTGTCTGACTGGCATGAGAATCACGTGATCAACGTTGAACTTCTAGACAATAGCGATGAAGTCCAGTTGGTTGGTTTGTTAGATATCATCCAGAGAATGGAAGACAAGGAAACGTTTGAAAAGGTAACGTCATAGTTGTACCTATAATATAACACAAGGCCTGATTGGCTGGCATATGTTTAATACTGTGAATTRTTTGTTAAGGTTGTTTCCAATGTTGTTCGATATGGTGATGCACAACTCGTTCAACCATTATCAATTKCTGCAACWCACTGCATGGGAGAAGAGATGYTATCGTCACAAACTAGAGAATCTGAACACGATTACAAGAATGACACAACTATGGAGGTATGAATAGATTGAAGAACTCACAGGACACTGTTTATCAAGTCTGTCATTTTTATCTAAATAGTTGTATAATTAAATTGTACTCCTTTCAAACTATATGTGCCATGGATTATTTCTCAGTATCTCTATTTAGTATAGTAACAGCTGTGTTATTCTTTGTAGGGTAATGTGAGTATCCCAGGCGCCTCAACTCTTTATGTTAAATTTGATCCAAGGTAAGGATGRCTATTCAGTTGATTAAGCCAGATAATGATGAACAACTAACTGGTTTTGTGTTAGATGTGCAACCGAGGAGGCCTGTGACGAGCTTGTGGTGGCTACGTCATCTGATTTAAAACAGAACAGACACGTGTACAGTGGTCCGCAGGGTCGATGGATCGATGTTGAATTACCAGGTAAACAACAAGAAGAAGAAGAGGATTCGAATGARWATTAGAACTTCAYTTCTTTTMTTTCAGGTGATATTTTGTACTTTAAGTTTACATCAGACAGCACTACTAACGACTGGGGCTGGAAGTTTGTTGTTTATGGTGGCCAACAAGGAAGGTATGCTCATGTTGAAGTTTTTATAAATTCTTCCTTGTTAATCTMGRTGTAAKGAGGTGTGACTSGMCCATTTATATATCTATTGGCTTTACCAAACCCACTCAATRAAGTGCGCAACAAACTAATACTTTTAATGGATTGTTTTTAGGTTTAAAACAGGCTTCTCTGTCCTTAATGCGCTTCTCTTGCTTGATAATCAAATTGCAAGGTATGTTGAGATCAGAGTTGTTGGTAAATATTTCAATATCATTAATGTTATTGTTGTTTTTCAAGATCTCTTCCACTTCAASAYTTATGGGAATGGCTGGTGTCTGTTGCTTGCTGCCAGACTGGTCAACATAGGCTTATGGCTACAGGGCTCTTGTTGAGGCTTTTGCTAGTTGTCTCTGGGTAAGAATCAAAAGGCTTTCCTCTTTCCTTCCCATTTCCCTACCTCCTTCACTCCCTCTGCCTTCCCTCCCTTTTTTCGTCGGCGTTTCTTCTCTCCTTCCTTTTTCGTGTTCTGATCACTGATCGAATGACTAATGTTCAATGTCTGTATATAGCCAAGCTGTTGATAGTGTTGGTTCCCAAACTGGTCCATTAGAGGCCGCACACAGACCTGATCTACGGCTATTGAGACCATTGTGGGCATTATACACCAAGATGCTTGAAAAAGAAAGTGGTGAGTTGACGACTCTATTTAAATTTTGTTTTGACCACCCAAATAAAGACTTTACCGTGTTCAATGCCACTACCATGATGACCTCAACGACATCATTGTCATCATTCACTGTCATCATTGTTTTGTATTGTCTTCGTCGTTATTCCATATTATTGATT